TGATGGTATTTATCCCTATTTTTACCTAATCTATGAACATTGAGTGTGTCAATATGAAAAAGGAAGAAATATTTAGCACTTTTTTCCCTCTTTTTCTCTTTTCTCATTGTTGTTCCTTTTTGTTCTGTTTAACTTGTTTCAGGGCATGTGATATTTGTCATGTGAAGCCTTCTTGTTGTGTGCTGAATTCTGTATTTGGAATTATTTGTCAATAATAAAATAAGATGTTTATTTCTATCTCCTCCTGGTGGAGGAACACAAACACACCTGTTGATTTCTTCATAATAAGGATCTGTTCTTCAGCGCCTCCTAGTGGATGAAGTGTGCACAAAGACCATTTGAGATGTGAAACAAACTCAGGCTGATCATGTGGAGTTTACTCTCATTATGAACAGTTAAATATGCATATACACCTGCATCTACATATACTTGGGCTGTTGGAGAACACACACAAAATGACACAAGTGAAAATTATAAGAATACAATAAACTATAACTGTGTTTAAAGTCATCATAAGTATTAAATGTCAGAATAACTCCAGTATCATCACCGTTGATATCAGGAATATATATATTTTTTCTGTTAGTAACAATGATATTATTGTTGATGTTAATGAATTTAAGTTTTTGATTAACAAGGTTAACTTTTTTCTCTTTCTCTCTATTTTTTTACGAATATGACTTTCTGGATTTATATTCATGTTCTTACTCTTTTTTTTTTTTTCAGGCAAAGTGATCCAAAAAAAAACAAAAAACTGAAAAGACCAAAAATGTCCAGAGACACAAGGGTTAAATTATTATTTATTGATCAAATGTAGTCATTTAAAGGACTGAGAACTTGTGGTGTGTGTGAGACATATCTTCTGGTGTTTAGGAGATGCTGTTTGACATATGGAGGCTCATATAATCTGTTTTAGTTTATAACCAGTCCCATCCTCGAGAGTTATTTTGTCTTCAACAAGAGAAGACCAAAGGAGGGTTGGAGAAGTAATCCAGAGTCTGAGACTCTCAATGATTTGTATTGTTCAGCACTGGAGTAAAGTAATGGCCATCATCATCTCGCTGACAGCTGTGATTCCCAGGGAACGCATGTATATAACTAATATACAACACATGCTAAGACTGCCAGGTCCGTTGGGTCCCACAGGTCTTCTCATTGGTGAGTTGTGTGTAGGTTCAGTCGGTGTGTGTACTGTCATGTTCATGCTGAAGCCAGACTGAGGTTCAGTTTAATCAGTGTGAGTCCCAGAGGCAGCGGGAGTCTGATTGAGCCAATCACAGGTGGAGACGGACCACCGCAGGGATTTATCACTCCAGTCTCCTGATTAACACACACACACAATCACAGTGACGTTCCTCGAAGGTCCGACTGAATCGTGAGTGTTCTGGGATCGTGTCGAGACTTTGAAGCTGAAACTCGCATCTGGACCTTCGACCCGTTGGACCCCATTGAAGACACTATATGGAGAAACACTGGAGTGTGTTCCTCAAAAACTGAAGAAGGAAAGACATGAACACCTTGGATGATGTCGGGGAGAGTAAATAATCAGGAAATGTTAGTTCTGACGGTACGGCTCCAGTGTTTACTGCGGATCAGGACTGGGCGACTGGTGTCAGCTCATAATGGTGTTGACAGTGACATTGATTAGTAGTCGCTGAATGCTCCTCATTACTGTAATTGAGAAACACAGCTGCACATAACGGCTGAATTCTCCTCCTCCTTCACATCTGATGCCATTTCAAAGGAAGGAAATTAAGATGCGCATTTATATAAAGGAAAAGCCTGCGGGATCACCTTCAGGATCTGTCAGGATCTCACTATATGTTTTAGTGATAGACTGTCCAAAGACTTCCTTAGATTTCCACGACGCATGCGCGAGAATTGCGATCTGCTTACACCAGCTTACACTACTTCAGATCGCAATTCTCGCGCATGCGTCGTGGAAATCTAAGGAAGTCTCGTTTCTGGCCTACAAGGAAGAAAAGAAATAGTCGAATAAACTCGTTATTTTTGTTTGTTTTTTCGCACAAAAAGTATTCGCGTCGCTTGATAAACATATAGTTGAGCCATGGTAGTCACTTGGGATATTTAAACATTTTCTTTATTGACTTTCTGGGCCGTCAAGAGGCAGTCCCTTAGGAGCCAATGTGGTAGTTATACAGCTCTCAAATTTAATCAAAAATATCTTCATTTGTGTTCCGAAGACGAACGAAGGTCTTACGGGGTGAGTAATTAATGACTTAATTTTCATTTTTGGGTGAACTAACCCTTTAACGTTCACTCATGCCCTGCGTTGAGTGTGAATGATCTAACTCTGAACTTTGACATGAAACATGAGGATAATGACGTTAGTTCAGATTTTCCTCTGGAAGTACTGTGAGCGGCGGAACTGAAGGAGCTCGTCTGCCACGTCATGCCCACTCATTTAGCCTGATAACTCTATTACGAGGGGAAGTAAATCAGTCAATGGATCCATTAAGGATTAATCATTAGCTGCAGAGGATTATGGATGACCGCTGATCTACAGGTGTGTTTGTATAACAGACGCTTCACATCTGATCTTCTCCTTTCTCTTTCTGCTCCATTTAAAGGGGCACTTGGCAACTATTTCAAGTCAATAAAACCGTCTAGAAATCATTTGGATGGTTCATTAACCTGTTCTGGAGAGAATGGTGGCTTTCCCCGCTCCCCCCAGCGTCCCCAGGAGGAAAACCAACCTTGCAACATGAGGACTAGCGTCCCGGTAAGTTGGAAATAGAAGTCTCGTGAGAAGAGAGAACGAGCAAGAAACACAATCTGCTTAATGGCAATTCGACATAATTCTGTGAGACTGTGATGACATATTACCCACTCGGTAGACACAGCTCCACACGATAGAGTTGGCCGGCTCCGATAATAACAAAAGCACTTGAGCAGCGGGAGAAAGGTGCCGCAAGTCCGTTTTTTATGACTGTTGTGAAAATATACCCCTCCTCACACTGGGCCCCGCCTCCACTACCTCACACTGGGCCCCGCCTCCACTACCTCACACTGGGCCCCGCCTCCAGTACCTCACACTGGGCCCCGCCTCCACTACCTCACACTGGGCCCCGCCTCCAGTACCTCACACTGGGCCCCGCCTCCACTACCTCACACTGGGCCCCGCCTCCACTACCTCACACTGGGCCCCGCCTCCACTACCTCACACTGGGCCCCGCCTCCAGTACCTCACACTGGGCCCCGCCTCCACTACCTCACACTGGCCCCTCCCAGTGGCCATTCGTGGCCACACTTTGGCCATTCGTTTACGCGACAACTTTCGGTTTCGTGTTGATTTTAAAATGATCATGTTCACTTATAAGGCTTCGCATGGCCTGGCTCGTCAGTATTTGTCAGAACTTGTAATCCTGTCGATCCCAGCGCTTGATCTCCGCTGAAGCTGGTCTTCTAACCCGTCTCTGATCTATGGGTGACGGGGCTTTCTCTCCGTTTGCCCAGAGCTGATGACCTCTCTGCCCTCTGAGAATAGGCAAACGCTCTCTCTGGGTGTTTTTAAAGCTTCCCTCAAAACTTACTTTTTTAGGGTAGCTTTTATTTTTTTTTAATACTTTAACTATATATATAAAGGCACTTTTAAAGGCACTGTAGAAAATAAAGTTTATTATTATTATATTATTATTAAAATGCTTTTTTCGTTTACTTTTTAAAGTACTTCATTATTGATACTCCAGTAAATTTTCATTGTCACTGAATTATTAGTATGTTTATTATGAAATTATTGTAAAAAAAAACAAGGAGAACACAATAATAGGAGAAATGGTCTAAAGCATGATTGTGTGGATGGATTATTTCCTATCACTCACATACAGCCAGTTACATTAATACTTTAGTTTGAACTGGATTTAGGTAGGAAAAATATGTAAAATATTTCCAACAAACTTTAAACAAACTTTAAACTTCTTCAACTTTAAACATAAATTCCTTTACGATCACTGTTCACTCAGTGTCCAATGTGTTAGCTCTTCTGAAATAACAGAGAGGACCTTCTGAGCTAAAATCAGCCACTGCAAGCAGAAACAGGCTAATATAGAAGGGTTATATAACAAACAATTGCATGGTCTTTAAAATTGTAATGAATTTTTTTATTATTATTATTATTATTTTAAAGACCATGAAACCTATGTTAGCCTGTTTTTGCATTCTGTAACCCTTTACCGATATATACACAACAATGTAAAATAAATAAATAAATAAAAAATGTATAGATATTATATATAGATGTATAGATATATATATTGTTTAATTTATTGTGAAATTGGGCTACACAGGCCAGGGGATAGGCTATATGAACAATGGTGAAATGTGGAGGTTCAAAATGATGGGGTTTTTTTTGTTTTTTCAAATTATCTTTTTTAATCAACTTCAACATGCCTAGAATTCAAATGGTGTTATTTATTTATGACTAAAACAAGTTTGAAATTCCTCATTCATTCATTGTTCAACATTTAAGGCACTAAGATCTTGATCTTTACTGGGTTCACCCAAGTCAAGTATATATTAGCAAGTATTTATATAGCACATTTCACAATATACTAGAATGCATCAAAGCAGCTTCACAGTATCAATCAATACATAATATCAATGTTCGTTTCTTTCTTAGTGGAAAAACTTCCAGTTTGGTTGAGCTATAATCAAGGGTATTACTAATTCGTTAATTAATTTGAATATCCCGAACTGAGAAAGCCAAAACCGAGGAATGTATGGTAAGTACATGGAGGATTGAAAGCATTATTATTATTATTATTATTTGTTTTTGAGGATATGAATTTATTTAGTTCTCGTTGTTCACAAACGCCAATCCTTTTCCCTGCGCCATCAAGTCCCGCCTCTGCTCTGACTAGCCAATCCGGTCAGCTGGAGCACTGCACGAGCCACCTGTGATTGGACAGTCGACACTTCCTTCACAAAGCCGTGGTGGCAACCAAAACAAACAATGACGTGAAGGCACCCGGGTTGATGGACGAACGCAATTGGCTGATCTCCCTCGCGCTGCTGCGGAAGTAGCGAATGCGGAAGTAACAGCACAGAGATGCAGGATATGTTTACACGCAGTTGGTTTGTGAATAAATGATCTTTTCCTAGCCATTCCCGGTTTAAGCTGCTGTCTTTCGTGATCCCGCACAAGAATGGAGGTTAGTCGCTGAAGTTTAAACAATAAAACTAAAGCTGCTGTTGAAGCTGTGTATAGATTGATAAATGAACATCAGTATGCAATATGTCATTAATGTATGTAACGTTATGTATGTAATTGGGTCTTATTGTTGATCAGCTAGGCTAAATGTGATAAGTTAGTGACCTGGACAAAAAGAGTCTAAGCCATTAGTAATAAAGATGGCTCTGACAGGGAATTATTTACCTTGTACCATTCATTAATTTACACGATGCATCAAGGTTCACCATAGTAATCCCACAATATGAAATGAGAATAACTATTGACTACGTCATATTATAGAGCAGTGTTGACATTAGGCTTGTTTGAGATGCGCCTCGCCTGAAATGTAGTCGAGAGTAGGAGTGAAGAAAGCGCAGGCTAGCCGGACAGGTCTCGGTTCTCGCAGGGGATCAGACACCAAAGACTGATATCGCGGGATTCACGCTCGTTCACGTGTTGCTAATAAACTGGATGTAATTTAAGTTCTGTTGCTTTTATATGATAAATAATTTTAATGATCAAGACACCCAAAGTACTTGTTATTTAATTACATTACAAATATGTGTTTATCAATAGTTTCTTCTTTAATACAGACATGTGTTTTTATATATTGTTTTAATAAAAATGACATCATCACATAATAACCCATATCGCACTGTCAGAGAGTTTATTCATCCATAACATATGTATACACATAAAAATACACATAAAACATGATATCAGAGTTTTAAAATCAAACATTTTAAAAGAGAGCAATACAGCACGGTTGTTAAACCAATGAGCATTAAGCTGTGTCGTCAGCAAGTCGTTTCCCATCATGCTTCTGATCAGCGCTGTCAGTGGAGAGCAACTGCGCGCGACTGCAGAATCCGACAGGTGCGCCTTGCGCTCACGAGAGTTTTTTGACATACGTCGGCATGACATCAGAGCCAGGCGAACTGCTCTCGGACACATTTCTAACCGGCATGCATCTCGCGCTGATCACCGGTGATCGGTTCTGCGCAGATTTTGCTCATCTCAAACAAGCCTAGAGCTGTGTAAGGTACTGTGTCCTAGGATTGTCTTATTAACGCATTACACCTGCAGCAGGACGCGAGCGCCGAGTCCGTGACCGTGACGTCACCGCAGGACGTGAGCACCGAGTCCGTGACGTCACCACAGGACGCGAGCGCCGAGTCAGTGACGTCACCGCTAGACGCGAACGGTGAGTCCGTGACATCACCACAGGACGCGAACGGTGAGTCCGTGACGTCACCTGCTGGACAGTCAGGCAAATCCAAGGTGAGATCCTTCATTGAGTGACACTTCCTTCATTCATAGTTTGTTTGATGAAAACGAAACTTTTACACATTTCGTCATCACCTATGATGATATACTGTTCAGTTCTAGAAGTTCAGGAAGTCATTTCACCTCTTTAACTTGTAAAAGCTCATCTATGCTAAGTAGCTGTTATTTAATCATAAATTGTTGTTAGACGGTATTGACTTGATTGGTGAACAAAAAAAGCAATAATAAGCGTATTTAAAACACCTCGAAAACAAACTGCATCTTTAAAGTTGAAATGTTGTTAATGTCAATTTTACGTTATTGCTTTGTATAGTAATGTACATATTTGTATGCGTTTCATTGATTTTCATTGATAACACTACTAATAAAATTAAAATCCAGAAGAAAGTCTAATTTTATTCTTATTGGAGGCTAAGTATAAATAAATATGAGAGAAATAATCTAAAGAAGTATATGTATATATTTGAGAAAGCGCTAGAGGAGGGCAGAGTCACTAAGTTCTGTCTCCTTACAGCTGGACACGCTGTCTAAACAAGATCTGATAAAGTTTGCAAAGAAACAGATGGTGGCGATGCAGAGGATGAAAGCAAAATGTGCAGGTAAGGTTATCAAAGTTGCTTCTTAATTGTAAAAACATATATATTTGTAAATCTGAGTATTGTATATTTTCTGTTCTTTTGACCAGCTTTAGAGAAGGAGGCGTTGAGGCCTGCGGTCGGCACAGCAGACTCCTCCATCATCCAGGTCAGTCCGTCAGTCTTTCAGTCCATCAGTCCGTAAGTCTTTCAGTCCGTCAGTCCGTAAGTGTTTCAGTCAGTCAGTCTTTCAGTCCGTCAGTCCTTCAGTCCGTCAGTCCTTCAGACCATCAGTCCTTCAGTCCGTCATCTTTCAGTCCTTCAGTCCGTCAGTCCTTCAGTCCGTCAGTCCTTTAGTCCGTCAGTCCTTCAGTCCGTCAGTCTTTCAGTCCGTCAGTCTTTCACTCCATCAGTCAGTCCTTCAGTCACTCCGTCAGTCCTTCACTCCGTCAGTCTTTCAGTCCGTCAGTCCTTCACTCCGTCAGTCCTTCAGTCCGTCAGTCCTTCAGTCCGTCAGTCCTTCAGTCCGTCAGTCTTTCAGTCCGTCAGTCTTTCACTCCTTCAGTCAGTCCTTCAGTCACTCCGTCAGTCCTTCACTCCGTCAGTCTTTCAGTTCGTCAGTCCTTCAGTCCGTCAGTCTTTCACTCCGTCAGTCTTTCAGTCCGTCAGTCCTTCAGTCCATCAGTCCTTCAGTCCGTCAGTCTTTCAGTCCGTCAGTCTTTCAGTCCGTCAGTCCTTCACTCCGTCAGTCCGTCAGTCCTTCAGTCCGTCAGTCCTTCAGTCCGTCATCTTTCAGTCCGTCAGTCAGTCAGTCCGTCAGTCCTTCAGTCAGTCAGTCCTTCAGACCGTCAGTCTTTCAGTCCTTCACTCCGTCAGTCCTTCACTCCGTCAGTCTTTCAGTCCTTCACTCCGTCAGTCCTTCAGTCCGTCAGTCTTTCAGTCCGTCAGTCCTTCAGTCAGTCAGTCCTTCAGACCGTCAGTCTTTCAGTCCTTCACTCCGTCAGTCCTTCACTCCGTCAGTCTTTCAGTCCTTCACTCCGTCAGTCCTTCAGTCCGTCAGTCTTTCAGTCCGTCAGTCCTTCAGACCGTCAGTCTTTCAGTCCGTCATCTTTCAGTCCGTCATCTTTCAGTCCGTCAGTCAGTCAGTCCGTCAGTCCTTCAGTCCGTCAGACCGTCAGTCTTTCAGTCCTTCACTCCGTCAGTCCTTCACTCCGTCAGTCTTTCAGTCCGTCAGTCCTTCAGTCCGTCAGGCTTTCAGTCCGTCAGTCTTTCAGTCCGTCAGTCCTTCAGTCCTTCAGTCCATCAGTCCTTCAGTCCGTCAGTCTTTCAGTCCGTCAGTCTTTCGGTCCGTCAGTCCTTCTGTCCGTCAGTCTTTCGGTCCGTCAGTCCTTCAGTCCGTCAGTCAGTCAGTCCGTCAGTCCTTCAGTCAGTCAGTCCTTCACTCCGTCAGTCTTTCAGTCCGTCAGTCCTTCAGTCCGTCAGTCCTTCAGTCCGTCAGTCTTTCAGTCCGTCAGTCCGTCAGTCCTTCAGTCCGTCGGTCCGTCAGTCCTTCAGTCCGTCAGTCCTTCAGTCCGTCAGTCTTTCAGTCCGTCAGTCTTTCACTCCATCAGTCAGTCTTTCACTCCTTCAGTCAGTCCTTCAGTCACTCCGTCAGTCCTTCACTCCGTCAGTCTTTCAGTCCGTCAGTCTTTCAGTCCGTCAGTCCTTCACTCCGTCAGTCCTTCACTCCGTCAGTCCTTCAGTCCGTCAGTCCTTCAGTCCGTCAGTCCTTCAGTCCGTCAGTCTTTCAGTCCGTCATCTTTCAGTCCGTCAGTCAGTCAGTCCGTCAGTCAGTCAGTCCTTCAGACCGTCAGTCTTTCAGTCCGTCATCTTTCAGTCCGTCATCCTTCAGTCCGTCAGTCAGTCAGTCCATCAGTCCTTCAGACCGTCAGTCCTTCACTCCGTCAGTCCTTCAGTCCGTCAGTCCTTCACTCCGTCAGTCCTTCACTCCGTCAGTCCTTCAGTCCGTCAGTCCTTCAGTCCCCCAGTCCTTCAGTCCGTCAGTCTTTCAGTCCGTCATCTTTCAGTCCGTCAGTCAGTCAGTCCGTCAGTCCTTCAGTCAGTCAGTCCTTCAGACCGTCAGTCTTTCAGTCCGTCATCTTTCAGTCCGTCATCCTTCAGTCCTTCAGTCCGTCAGTCCTTCAGACCGTCAGTCCTTCACTCCGTCAGTCCTTCACTCCGTCAGTCTTTCAGTCCTTCACTCCGTCAGTCCTTCAGTCCGTCAGTCCTTCAGACCGTCAGTCTTTCAGTCCTTCACTCCGTCAGTCTTTCAGTCCTTCACTCCGTCAGTCCTTCAGTCCGTCAGTCTTTCAGTCCGTCAGTCCGTCAGTCTTTCAGTCCGTCAGTCCTTCAGTCCGTCAGGCTTTCAGTCCGTCAGTCTTTCACTCCGTCAGTCTTTCACTCCGTCAGTCTTTCAGTCCTTCACTCCGTCAGTCCTTCAGTCCGTCAGTCAGTCAGTCCGTCAGTCCTTCAGTCCGTCAGTCCTTCAGACCGTCAGTCCTTCACTCCGTCAGTCTTTCAGTCCGTCAGTCCTTCACTCGTCAGTCCTTCACTCCGTCAGTCCTTCAGTCCGTCAGTCCTTCAGTCCGTCAGTCTTTCAGTCCGTCAGTCTTTCACTCCATCAGTCAGTCTTTCACTCCTTCAGTCAGTCCTTCAGTCACTCCGTCAGTCCTTCACTCCGTCAGTCTTTCAGTCCGTCAGTCTTTCAGTCCGTCAGTCCTTCACTCCGTCAGTCCTTCAGTCCGTCAGTCCTTCAGTCCGTCAGTCCTTCAGTCCGTCAGTCTTTCAGTCCGTCATCTTTCAGTCCGTCAGTCAGTCAGTCCGTCAGTCCTTCAGTCAGTCAGTCCTTCAGACCGTCAGTCTTTCAGTCCGTCATCTTTCAGTCCGTCATCTTTCAGTCCGTCATCTTTCAGTCCGTCAGTCAGTCAGTCCGTCAGTCCTTCAGACCGTCAGTCCTTCACTCCGTCAGTCCTTCAGTCCGTCAGTCCTTCACTCCGTCAGTCCTTCAGTCCGTCAGTCCTTCAGTCCCCCAGTCCTTCAGTCCGTCAGTCTTTCAGTCCGTCATCTTTCAGTCCGTCAGTCAGTCAGTCCGTCAGTCCTTCAGTCAGTCAGTCCTTCAGACCGTCAGTCTTTCAGTCCGTCATCTTTCAGTCCGTCATCCTTCAGTCCTTCAGTCCGTCAGTCCTTCAGACCGTCAGTCCTTCACTCCGTCAGTCCTTCACTCCGTCAGTCTTTCAGTCCTTCACTCCGTCAGTCCTTCAGTCCGTCAGTCCTTCAGACCGTCAGTCTTTCAGTCCTTCACTCCGTCAGTCTTTCAGTCCTTCACTCCGTCAGTCCTTCAGTCCGTCAGTCTTTCAGTCCGTCAGTCCGTCAGTCTTTCAGTCCGTCAGTCCTTCAGTCCGTCAGGCTTTCAGTCCGTCAGTCTTTCACTCCGTCAGTCTTTCACTCCGTCAGTCTTTCAGTGCTTCACTCCGTCAGTCCTTCAGTCCGTCAGTCAGTCAGTCCGTCAGTCCTTCAGTCCGTCAGTCCTTCAGACCGTCAGTCCTTCACTCCGTCAGTCTTTCAGTCCTTCACTCGTCAGTCCTTCACTCCGTCAGTCCTTCAGTCCGTCAGTCCTTCAGTCCGTCAGTCCTTCAGTCCGTCAGTCCGTCAGTCCTTCAGTCAGTCAGTCCTTCAGACCGTCAGTCTTTCAGTCCGTCATCTTTCAGTCCGTCATCCTTCAGTCCGTCAGTCCTTCAGACCGTCAGTCCTTCACTCCGTCAGTCCTTCACTCCGTCAGTCTTTCAGTCCTTCACTCCGTCAGTCCTTCAGTCCGTCAGTCCTTCAGACCGTCAGTCTTTCAGTCCTTCACTCCGTCAGTCTTTCAGTCCTTAACTCCGTCAGTCCTTCAGTCCGTCAGGCTTTCAGTCCGTCAGTCTTTCACTCCGTCAGTCTTTCACTCCGTCAGTCTTTCAGTCCTTCACTCCGTCAGTCCTTCAGTCCGTCAGTCAGTCAGTCCGTCAGTCCTTCAGTCCGTCAGTCCTTCAGACCGTCAGTCCTTCACTCCGTCAGTCTTTCAGTCCGTCAGTCCTTCACTCGTCAGTCCTTCACTCCGTCAGTCCTTCAGTCCGTCAGTCCTTCAGTCCGTCAGTCTTTCAGTCCGTCAGTCTTTCACTCCATCAGTCAGTCTTTCACTCCTTCAGTCAGTCCTTCAGTCACTCCGTCAGTCCTTCACTCCGTCAGTCTTTCAGTCCGTCAGTCTTTCAGTCCGTCAGTCCTTCAGTCCGTCAGTCTTTCAGTCCGTCATCTTTCAGTCCGTCAGTCAGTCAGTCCGTCAGTCCTTCAGTCAGTCAGTCCTTCAGACCGTCAGTCTTTCAGTCCGTCATCTTTCAGTCCGTCATCTTTCAGTCCGTCAGTCAGTCAGTCCTTCACTCCGTCAGTCCTTCAGTCCGTCAGTCCTTCACTCCGTCAGTCCTTCACTCCGTCAGTCCTTCAGTCCGTCAGTCCTTCAGTCCCCCAGTCCTTCAGTCCGTCAGTCTTTCAGTCCGTCATCTTTCAGTCCGTCAGTCAGTCAGTCCGTCAGTCCTTCAGTCAGTCAGTCCTTCAGACCGTCAGTCTTTCAGTCCGTCATCTTTCAGTCCGTCATCCTTCAGTCCTTCAGTCCGTCAGTCCTTCAGACCGTCAGTCCTTCACTCCGTCAGTCCTTCACTCCGTCAGTCTTTCAGTCCTTCACTCCGTCAGTCCTTCAGTCCGTCAGTCCTTCAGACCGTCAGTCTTTCAGTCCTTCACTCCGTCAGTCTTTCAGTCCTTCACTCCGTCAGTCCTTCAGTCCGTCAGTCTTTCAGTCCGTCAGTCCGTCAGTCTTTCAGTCCGTCAGTCCTTCAGTCCGTCAGGCTTTCAGTCCGTCAGTCTTTCACTCCGTCAGTCTTTCACTCCGTCAGTCTTTCAGTGCTTCACTCCGTCAGTCAGTCAGTCCGTCAGTCCTTCAGTCCGTCAGTCCTTCAGACCGTCAGTCCTTCACTCCGTCAGTCTTTCAGTCCTTCACTCGTCAGTCCTTCACTCCGTCAGTCCTTCAGTCCGTCAGTCCTTCAGTCCGTCAGTCCTTCAGTCCGTCAGTCCTTCAGTCCGTCAGTCCGTCAGTCCTTCAGTCAGTCAGTCCTTCAGACCGTCAGTCTTTCAGTCCGTCATCTTTCAGTCCGTCATCCTTCAGTCCGTCAGTCCTTCAGACCGTCAGTCCTTCACTCCGTCAGTCCTTCACTCCGTCAGTCTTTCAGTCCTTCACTCCGTCAGTCCTTCAGTCCGTCAGTCCTTCAGACCGTCAGTCTTTCAGTCCTTCACTCCGTCAGTCTTTCAGTCCTTAACTCCGTCAGTCCTTCAGTCCGTCAGTCTTTCAGTCCGTCAGTCCTTCAGTCCGTCAGTCTTTCAGTCCGTCAGTCCTTCAGTCCGTCAGGCTTTCAGTCCGTCAGTCTTTCAGTCCATTAGTCCGTCAGTTCATCAGTCCTTCAGTCCATCAGTCCTTCTGTCCGTCAGTCTTTCGGTCCGTCAGTCCTTCAGTCCGTCAGTCTTTCAGTCCGTCAGTCCTTCAGTCCGTCAGGCTTTCAGTCCGTCAGTCTTTCAGTCCATTAGTCCGTCAGTTCATCAGTCCTTCAGTCCATCAGTCCTTCAGTCTGTCAGTCTTTCAGTCCGTCAGTCTTTCAGTCCGTCAGTCTTTCGGTCCGTCAGTCCTTCTGTCCGTCAGTCTTTCGGTCCTTCAGTCCGTCAGTCCTTCAGTCCGTCAGTCTTTCAGTCCGTCAGACCGTCTGTCCGTCAGTCCTTAAGTCCGTCAGTCTGTTAGTCCTCAGTCCTTCTGTTCAGTCAGTCCGTCAGTCCTTCATTCAGTCCGTCAGACCGTCTGTCCGTCAGTCCTTAAGTCCGTCAGTCTGTTAGTCCTCAGTCCTTCTGTTCAGTCAGTCCGTCAGTCCTTCATTCAGTCCGTCAGTCCTTCAGTCCATCAGTCCTTCAGTCGTTCAGTCCGTCAGTCTGTCAGTCCTTAGATAGATCAATAGATTCTGTACTGTTAGGAGACCCTGCAAAGTATTGATATGTTGGCTCATCAAAATGATGCATAGCGAGGATGTGTTTCAGAGTTTGTGTTCCTGATCCCAACAGGAGCTGAGCGAGCGAATGAGTGCTGTGCTGCAGGAGAAGGCCGAGGTTCAGCAGAGCCTGGTGCTACTGCGCAGAGAAAACGAGGAGTTCAAGAAACAGGCACAGGTAACCTTTTGCTCAATCTGTGAGTTTCTTGTGTTCTTTCGGTAATAGTTATTTTAAAGGTGAAGTGTGTAATGTTTTTAGTGCCATCTAGTGGTGAGGTTGTGAATTGTACCCAACAGAAGTTACGGTGGCCGACAGGATGTCGTCGTCTGAGACAGCAGAGAGTAGCCTTTTCATCAATTAGCTTTCTTTACAAGGATTAAGAAATTAGGTTTACTTAATTATTCAGTAAAACTGTATGTTATTGCGAATATTATTGTCAATTGTTCATCATTGTGTTAGTGTTTTATTCGCTGACTTCAGCAGCTTCTTATCATGAAGAACAACATAGTGATGAAACACGTTTGTCCGTTCAGGGTCGGATTGTGTGTAGAGAGAAATGCTTCATTTTAACGTACATATGTTTATTATATTGCAACAGATCCTCCTAAATATTACTCAATTCATCTTTAATATAGCATGAAATCCACTATAAAGAAGCAATGACTTTATTTGAAATGTTTTTACAGGAAACAGAGGGAAGATTAGCCGCTTTCCAGGAGGAACTAGACTTGAAGAATAGCGAGTGTGCAGAAATGCAGAGAAGCACAGCTGAGCTCACTGCTGGCTTTAGGGCAGCCTGCACTGAGTATGAGTCCAAGATATCTCAAACTCAAGAAGAGCTGCTAGAAGCCAAGAAGCAGTGGACGACTGCGACCGAAGCGCTCAGAGAATCCCACCAGATGAGCCTTACTGAGTCCCAACAGGAGGTGGAGAATCTGCAGAGGGAGATGGAGAGGCTGGGCAAGCAGTACGAGGACGAGCTGCGCTACCTGGAGGAGCAGATGGAGCTGAACGCCGCAGACTTCGAGAGGGAGCGCGAGCGGCTACTTCTGCTGCAGGACGAGCTCTCGGAGCAGCTGGCGCTGAAGGAGGGATTCCTGCAGGATGTTCAGGAGGAAGAGGAGGAGAGCAATCGAGCAGCGCCTCCGCAGCCGCTGGCGGACTCCTCCGCCTCAGACGACTCCAGCGACGAGGGTGGCGGGCTGAAGCTAGCCCTGGAGGATTTGCAGGCTCAAAACATGATGTTTCAAGAAGAGCTCGAGTTTCTTAGAAATGTGAAGGTGGAGCTGGAGTCTGAGCTGAAGCAAGTCAGAGAGGAGTTCACTGTGGAGAAGGAAGAGCTCGAGTTCACCATCAACGAGCTTCAAATGAGCAAAGACAGTGGTGAAGCATCAGTGGGCAAAAGCGGAGAGGCTCGCAGCATCTCTACTGTAGACGTCCGAACCTTAGAAGAGTCCCACAACCAAGACTCAAGGGAACTGGAAACTTGCTTTAGCTCCAGTGCTGAAAGAGCTCAGCCAGAACATGTTGCAGACGCTCCACAAGACACACGCTCGCCTCCTCCTGAAGATGAGAGCATGATCGTGCGTAAAAACCTCAGAGACAGAACAGAGTACTTTCTGAAGCAATACAGAGCCATGAAGGAGCAAACCGTGTCCTCGGTTCAGGGTCTGCAGGAGGAGCTTGAGAGCTTCTTCCAGGAGAGGGACAGTTTGTTAGAGCACATTAATGCAGAGGACACACTGGACCACGCAGGCAAAATGTCCTTCGAGGACCTGAGGAACAAAACAAAAGAAATCCTGGGGAATCTACAACACAAGGAGACTCTTGTCTTAGAGTTCATGGCATCCAAATCAGAAGGTGAACACAATGAGACTCTTGTGTCAGAGTTCGAGGAGAAACTGAAGTTCATGGCATCCGAATCAGAACATGAGCACAAGGCTCAGCTCGCACAGATCCGTACGCTGGAGAGTCGGCTGCTGTCGGTAAGCGTGGAGAAGGACCAGCGTATAAATCTCCTTGAGGAGGAGCTGTCTGCTCTTCAAGCCGGACAGGAGGAGTGTCAAGACACAATCAAACTCCTCCAGGCTCAGATCGTGTGCCTGTCGGACGAGGGAAACGCCCTTCGGCGAGACAGGGACGCTAGTCAGGAGCATCTTTCTGACGTTCGGAGCCGCATCGCTGAAATCCTCAAGCAGAGTTTCTCTGAGACGGAGCTGGATGGCACGGCGGATGTCTCTGCTCTTGCTCTTATAAACCATCTCTGGAGTAAGTCTCAGGAGGAGAAGGCGCTCCTGACCCAGCAGTGTGACGAAGGCACAGAGCGGTTGGCGGCTGAGCTGGAGAGCGCGAGGCAGTCGGTGGAAGAGCGTCAGGAGCGCGTGGACGAGCTGCTCCGCGAGAAGCACCTGCTGAAGGCCAGTCTGGAGGAGGTGCTGTTGGATACAGAGGGACTGCAGAAGGACCTGAGGGAAATGCAAGGCATGAATGAAAAGCTGAGGGCAGAAAACCTCAGCCTGCTTGCTCAAGTTGCTGACCTGAGTCAGAGTTCAGAGGAAAAAGAGCCGGCGGATGAAACGGATGCACAAGTTCACAAGGCCAACGAGCTCCAACAGGTTCTGGCTGACAAAGACACTCTAATATCTCAGCTCAAAAAAGAAGTTGGTCTCCTGCAGGTATTGTGTGTTTGTAATGCTGGCTAAAATATTTTCTTGTTTCTTTACAAGACCTTATCTATAAGCAGATCATGCAACGTACCAAAGTACCTAAAGAATAGCAGAGTAGAATTACAAGAGAGACCTGACAAAGAATCGGAAAAGTCGGAATTGCGAGAAATAAAGTCAAAGTTGCAAGTTATAATGTCTGAATTGCGAGTTATAAAGTCAGAGTTGTGTGAAATGAAGTCTGATTGCGAAAAATAAAGTCAGGATCATGTGAAATTAAGTCAGGATTGTTTTAAGTAAAGTTGGAATTGTGAGAAATAAAGTCAGAATTGCGTGACAAAGTCGGGATTGAGAGAAATAAAGTTGGGATTATCTGAAATAAAAAGTTAGGATTGTGTGAAATAAAGTTGGAATTGCGAGAAATAAAGTCGGAATTGCGAGAAATAAAGTTGGGATTATGTGAAATAAAGTCAGGATTGTGAGAAATAAAGTCGGAGTTGCGAGAAAAAAAGTCGGGATTGCGAGAAATAAAGTTGTAATTGCAAGAAATAAAGTTGGATTCGTGAGAAATAAGGTCAGGATTCTGTGAAATATAGGAATTGCAAGAAAAAGTCGGGATTGCGAGAAATAAAGTCAGGATTGTGTGAAATAAAGTTGGTTTGTGTGAAATAAAGTTGGATTGTGTGAAATAAAGTTGGAATTGCGTGAAATAAAGTCAGGATTGTGTGAAATAAAGTTGGATTGTGTGAAATAAAGTTGGAATTGCGTGAAATAAAATTGGGATTGCAAGAAATAAAGTTGAAATTACGAGAAATAAAGTCGGAATTGCGAGAAATAAAGTTGGGATTGCGAGAAATAAAGTCAGGATTATGTTAAATAAAGTCAGGATTTTGTGAAATAAAGTTGGAATTTCGAGAAATAAAGTCAGATTTGCGAGAAATAAAGTCGGATTTGCGAGAAATAAAGTTGGATTTGCGAGAAATAAAGTAGGAATTGCGTGAAATAAAGTCAGGATTGTGTTAATTTAAGTTGGAATGGCAAATTATAAATTGAATTGTGTGAAATAAAGTTGGAATTGCAAATTATGATCTCTGAATTGCGAGATAAAAAGTCACAATTATCTTCATTTTTCCTTATTGCCGTGAACAAGGTTCCATATAAAATACATAACTACGTATTTTAATTACTCTACAGAATTACTCTAGAATTTGTAAGTGACATCTTAAATTTCTTTCCTTCGATTGTCACTTTTCAGACGTGCAAAGAGTCATCGGTGACTGATGAAAATGAGAAACTGAAAGAGTTATCTGATGAAATAGGTATGATTGTTCATGTTACACTCTTAATTCCATGAGCCTTGGTGCCGAAACCATTTCCCTTACGTCCTTGATGACTCTTCTGTTGTGTAGAAGCGCTGAAGAAAGCAAGTAAGGATAAGGACGAACGCATGAACAAGATCAAAGCGGTTGCTGTGAAGGCCAAGAAGGAGCTGGAGCTCAGCAAGAGCGAGGTGGGTGGTGTCGTGTCCCTCCGAGGCGCTCCAGGGCTATGGACTGAGCATGTGTGGACTGAGCTTGTGTGGACTGAGCTTGTGCGGACTGAGCTTGTGCGGACTGAGCTTGTGTGGACTGAGCTTGTGTGGACTGAGCTTGTGCGGACTGAGCTTGTGTGGACTGAGCTTGTGCGGACTGAGCTTGTGTGGACTGAGCTTGTGTGGACTGAGCTTGTGTGGACTGAGCTTGTGTGGACTGAGCTTGTGTGGACTGAGCTTGTGTGGACTGAGCTTGTGTGGACTGAGCTTGTGTGGACTGAGCTTGTGTGGACTGAGCTTGTGTGGACTGAGCTTGTGTGGACTGAGCTTGTGTGGACTGAGCTTGTGTGGACTGAGCTTGTGTGGACTGAGCTTGAGTGGACTGAGCTTGTGTGGACTGAGCTTGTGCGGACTGAGCTTGTGTGGACTGAGCTTGTGTGGACTGAGCTTGTGTGGACTGAGCTTGTGTGGACTGAGCTTGAGTGGACTGAGCTTGTGTGGACTGAGCTTGTGTGGACTGAGCTTGTGCGGACTGAGCTTGTGTGGACTGAGCTTGTGTGGACTGAGCTTGTGTGGACTGAGCTTGTGCGGACTGAGCTTGTGTGGACTGAGCTTGTGCGGACTGAGCTTGTGTGGACTGAGCTTGTGCGGACTGAGCTTGTGTGGACTGAGCTTGTGTGGACTGAGCTTGTGTGGACTGAGCTTGTGTGGACTGAGCTTGTGTGGACTGAGCTTGTGTGGACTGAGCTTGTGTGGACTGAGCTTGTGTGGACTGAGCTTGTGTGGACTGAGCTTGTGTGGACTGAGCTTGTGTGGACTGAGCTTGAGTGGACTGAGCTTGTGTGGACTGAGCTTGTGCGGACTGAGCTTGTGTGGACTGAGCTTGTGTGGACTGAGCTTGTGTGGACTGAGCTTGTGTGGACTGAGCTTGAGTGGACTGAGCTTGTGTGGACTGAGCTTGAGTGGACTGAGCTTGTGTGGACTGAGCTTGTGCGGACTGAGCTTGTGTGGACTGAGCTTGTGTGGACTGAGCTTGTGCGGACTGAGCTTGTGTGGACTGAGCTTGTGCGGACTGAGCTTGTGTGGACTGAGCTTGTGTGGACTGAGCTTGTGCGGACTGAGCTTGTGCGGACTGAGCTTGTGTGGACTGAGCTTGTGTGGACTGAGCTTGTGTGGACTGAGCTTGTGCGGACTGAGCTTGAGTGGACTGAGCTTGTGCGGACTGAGCTTGTGTGGACTGAGCTTGTGTGGACTGAGCTTGTGTGGACTGAGCTTGTGTGGACTGAGCTTGTGTGGACTGAGCTTGTGTGGACTGAGCTTGTGTGGACTGAGCTTGTGTGGACTGAGCTTGTGTGGACTGAGCTTGTGTGGACTGAGCTTGTGTGGACTGAGCTTGAGTGGACTGAGCTTGTGTGGACTGAGCTTGTGCGGACTGAGCTTGTGTGGACTGAGCTTGTGTGGACTGAGCTTGTGTGGACTGAGCTTGTGTGGACTGAGCTTGAGTGGACTGAGCTTGTGTGGACTGAGCTTGTGTGGACTGAGCTTGTGTGGACTGAGCTTGTGCGGACTGAGCTTGTGTGGACTGAGCTTGTGTGGACTGAGCTTGTGCGGACTGAGCTTGTGTGGACTGAGCTTGTGCGGACTGAGCTTGTGTGGACTGAGCTTGTGTGGACTGAGCTTGTGCGGACTGAGCTTGTGCGGACTGAGCTTGTGTGGACTGAGCTTGTGTGGACTGAGCTTGTGTGGACTGAGCTTGTGTGGACTGAGCTTGAGTGGACTGAGCTTGTGCGGACTGAGCTTGTGTGGACTGAGCTTGTGTGGACTGAGCTTGTGTGGACTGAGCTTGAGTGGACTGAGCTTGTGTGGACTGAGCTTGTGTGGACTGAGCTTGTGTGGACTGAGCTTGTGTGGACTGAGCTTGAGTGGACTGAGCTTGTGCGGACTGAGCTTGTGTGGACTGAGCTTGTGTGGACTGAGCTTGTGTGGACTGAGCTTGTGTGGACTGAGCTTGTGCGGACTGAGCTTGTGCGGACTGAGCTTGTGTGGACTGAGCTTGTGTGGACTGAGCTTGTGTGGACTGAGCTTGTGCGGACTGAGCTTGTGCGGACTGAGCTTGTGTGGACTGAGCTTGTGTGGACTGAGCTTGTGTGGACTGAGCTTGAGTGGACTGAGCTTGTGTGGACTGAGCTTGTGTGGACTGAGCTTGTTTGGACTGAGCTTGTGTGGACTGAGCTTGTGTGGACTGAGCTTGTGCGGACTGAGCTTGAGTGGACTGAGCTTGTGCGGACTGAGCTTGTGTGGACTGAGCTTGTGTGGACTGAGCTTGTGTGGACTGAGCTTGAGTGGACTGAGCTTGTGTGGACTGAGCTTGTGCGGACTGAGCTTGTGTGGACTGAGCTTGTGTGGACTGAGCTTGTGTGGACTGAGCTTGTGTGGACTGAGCTTGAGTGGACTGAGCTTGTGCGGACTGAGCTTGTGTGGACTGAGCTTGTGTGGACTGAGCTTGTGCGGACTGAGCTTGTGTGGACTGAGCTTGAGTGGACTGAGCTTGAGTGGACTGAGCTTGTGTGGACTGAGCTTGTGTGGACTGAGCTTGTGTGGACTGAGCTTGTGTGGACTGAGCTTGTGCGGACTGAGCTTGTGTGGACTGAGCTTGAGTGGACTGAGCTTGAGTGGACTGAGCTTGTGTGGACTGAGCTTGTGTGGACTGAGCTTGAGTGGACTGAGCTTGAGTGGACTGAGCTTGTGTGGACTGAGCTTGTGTGGACTGAGCTTGAGTGGACTGAGCTTGTGTGGACTGAACTTGTGCGGACTGAGCTTGTGTTTGTGCCTCCAGGCTGCCGCTCTGAGGGAGGACGTGGAGCAGCTGAAGGCTGAGCGGGACCGGCTGACACACTCTGTGAAGGACATCATCCACGGGGCAGAGCATTACAAGGTTTAGCTCATCCTCCATTATAGTGTCCGACAAGATCTACTAGTTCTTAAGTAAACAGTGCACTTCTTAATCATGCATTTGTAGAATTTGCTGGTGGATTATGACAAGCAGACTGAGCGGCTGGAACAGGCGGATAAACTCGGTGAAGATTTGAGCAGGCGTCTCCAGAATGCAGTTCAGCAGGTACTCCAATAACACCACCCACACAGATTCAGTGTTACTGTGAAATGTCCTTCGTTAATGTGCTACTCCACACCTGTGGATCCTCATACATCCACTATAATTGATTCATTCGTATCGAACACAGTGACGTGTAAGTGTATAGTTAAAAGAGAGGGTGGGATGAGTAAGTGTTTCTCTGTGGTGATCGCTCTCAGCATGAGCTGCTGTCGTCAGAGCGAGCGGATCTGGCGGCCCGTGCCGAGGCGCTGCAGAAGACCGTCACACAGCTGGAGGCGCAGACGCTGGACATGCAGAAGCTGGAGCGAGAGCTGGAGGCGGAGAGGCTCCTCCGAGAGCAGAAGACTAAGGTACGGTCGAGCGTCTCTGGCGTACTCGTGCGTCCCTCAGGGGCTAAAGGCCTTGAAGAACTTAAAGATTTAAATGTAACTCCTTGAAAACAGGTATATTTATGAATCAGTACTTAAAGTGCTTGAATTATTGAAGGACAATACATGTATACATAAACATGAAATAAGTGTATAATTTTTTCAGAAAAACACAAATACAATCTTTTCGTGCGAAAATGAATGCTGCAGCCCGTCTGATATAGATACATAGCCATTTCACATGGATATTGCTCATATGTTTCCAAGTGTTTGATACAAATTTCATTCTTCAGGTTAATCACATATTCATGGGGGGGAAATCTGTTTGAAAAGGATTTAGAAATCTTTGCATTTTTTAGAATTTGAAAGATTATAAAGATATCATTTGATAAGATCTTTACTTGTATTTCTTGAAAACCAAAAACAGTAGTGCTTAAAGTCCTGGAATGTCATTTTACAGTATGTGTACTAGGGATGAGTCACGATCTTCGAATGGTCGAATAGTCGAAATGCGTTCGAACTTCGATCATAAAATAGCTTTTTCGAATATCGTTATATTTTCGTGCAATAATTCCAATGTGTATTTAACATAATTGACGCAGCGCCTACTGACACAGATCGCGGAGCAAGGTATTTTCCTGTTAGGGTGTCACTAACATGCATGAAACCCACTACTGGGCGATCTAGGATACCAGCTTTTTGAACATAGTGTAAACAAACAACAGAAGAAGAGCACTGTCGTGAATGCACTGAATCGGGAATCGGGAGAAATGCCTACTGAACCACCGGCGGCTAAAAATCCACAAAATGACGCCCTCTCTGCTGCAGCGATTGCGGTCTTGTTTGGCGAGGATAACATCGAGCAGACAGCAACAGCGACAACCGAACTCTTGCAATACTGCCAAGATACAGTATGCCCACCAATGAACGCTGATTCCCATAACATGGTGGAAGGCCAACGCGAAGAAATATCCCCGCCTGGAAAAGTTAGCAATCTCCTACTTGAGTGTGCCTGCGACATCTGTGCCATCCGCGCGGGTGTTCTCCGCGGCTGGACTAATCGTCACAGGTTGCGCTCGCGTCTCCTTCCAGAACATGTTGATGACGTGCTAATTTTTCTGAACAAGAATATGACATAAGCGTTATGCTATGAATAGTTTATCTTAATCGAAACGAATTTGTTTAAAAAGTCGGCTGTTGCCGGTTACAAGGCAGGTTCGCATAAAAACATTATTACATGATATTATTTTTTGATCGAGCGAGCATCTGGTTTGTCGATGCAAAATCGTTTTTTGTGCTTTTAGTTTTTTCTTCTTCCAATTATTCTTCTGTGTTAAAAAAATGACGAAAACATGTCACTTGTTCAATTAATAAATCGCTAAAGATGGAATTAGCCTCCCTTTCTGTTATTGTGTGAGTGCGTTTTTTTTTTCTCCGATTTTCGAACGATAATCGACTTTTGCTCCTCGATTTTCGAATGCCATTTTTGGCAGAAATTCACATCCCTAATGTGTACGAACAGTGGCAGCAAGATCTCTGTATACACATGCTCTGCTATAGTAACAGCAGTGTCTTCTCTTCTTCTCGTCTTTTCCATTGAAGTTTTTAAAGATGTGTGTGTGTGTGTTTCTCCAGGAGCACCATGCTGCCGTGAAGGAGGTGGAGGAGCTTCAAGCTCAGCTCAGCAAACACACACATCAGCTGCAGCAGACGGCTCAGGAGCTCGAGCAGCTGAGAAAGGCATGTCCACACACACAACTCCGATCACACTGTGGCTGTCGTGCCAGACTGACTGATCAATTATATAATGAGAGTACACTATTATTATTATTATTTTTGACGTTTATCTGAACACCAGTACCCAGTTAGTCATGATTGTGTACTGCAGGCCACATGTGTGAGAGCTACATCAGTGTGTGTGACCTCTGGCTCTGCAGGGCGCTCAGCAGAGCTCACTGATGGACATGGAAATGGCGGACTATGAGAAACTGGTGAAAGAACTCAATCACAAACTCTCCGAGAGAGACAAACAGGCGGAGGAGCACCAACTGCACATGCAAACACAGAGAGAGCGAGAGCAGCGGCTGAACCAGGACATTGGTACGACTGAAAGCTTCATCTGATGCTGTAATCGAGTGAAATGGCTAGGAGCTGCACAGGATCAAACACTGATGAATCTCATTATGTGTATTTCTCTCAGAGTCTCTGAAGTCCTCGCTGGATCAGACGGAGGAGAAAGCCTCCAGGATGAAACAACTGCTGGTCAAAACCAAAAAAGATCTGGGAGACGCAAAACAAAGAGTGAGTCTCATGAATTCAGTGTCTGCAGGCATTAATGTAGCCTTTACTTAGACATTAATATTACATGGCAACTTAATCATAAAGTACAAGTGGAGCGACTGTAGGAAAAAACGTCCTATTTCAGGCAGACCGACATACATAGACAGAACATTGATGAATAGGTGGATAGATGCCATTGCAATTGAAATGATTCAACCCCCATTCAAATCAGGTTTATTGGCACAATTTACAGACTTCCAGCTGTTTGCAATGAGCAAATCAAACAAAAGTAATTGCCATCTTTCTGTATCCTGTTCCTTGTTTGTGAAGGGCGATGGTGTCTTCTCTTCACTTTTTGGACCATTCTTTTGACTTGCTGTATTTCTAACACAGTCAAACGTGACACTCTTGTCCCCAGATCCAATTTGGGGAACCACTTGAAACATTTGTTGTGTTGAGCTATTTCTATTCCTTTTGTTTGATTTGTTCATTTAAATTTTTTTCAATAAATCTGATTTGCGATAGATAGATAGATAGATAGATAGATAGATAGATAGATAGATAGATAGATAGATAGATAGATAGATAGATAGATAGATAGATAGATAGATAGATAGATAGACAGATAGATAGATAGATAGATAGATAGATAGATAGATAGACAGACAGACAGATAGATAGATAGATAGATAGATAGATAGATAGATAGATAGATAGATAGATAGATAGATAGATAGATAGATAGATAGATAGATAGATAGATAGATAGATAGATAGATAGATAGATGGATAGATAGATATGTTGATCTGGTGGTGGTGTTCTTGTCTGATGTGTGTGTGAATCTCCCACAGGAAGCGGCTCAGATGATCAGTCTGGCGTCTCTGAGAGGAGAACTGGAGGCCCAGCAGCAGCAGCTGGAGGAGTATAAGGTGTGTGTGTGTGTGTGTGTGTGTCGATGCAGCAGTTGGAGGAGAAGTTCAGCATGTTCACCCTGATAACACACACACACACACACCTGCGAACTGAAGCAACTCGTCTGCCGGCTTTACATGCTGACTAATAACCGTGTTCACTAGACTTTATTAATGAATCAAGTTATTTCCCGGCAGTGACGTCAACCTGATCATTACTGCGTCTCACTCCCTTTTGTTCAATTAATGAGCAGTGTTGTGTGTGTGAGTGTGTGTGTGTGTTTTGATGATGATGTGTGTGTGTGTGTGTCCAGATCCAGTGCAGTGATCTGACAGCGGAGCGGCACCGTCTGCAGGAGCAGCTGAAGCTGATGAACGAGCAGCACACACACACGTCACACTCACATCGACTCAGTGTGAAGAAACTGCAGGACGAATGCGCAGCCTCCAAGGTGAACACACACACAAACACAAACTCTCTCTCTCTCTCTCTCTCACACACACACACACACACAAGCATAGCAGAGATGTTTGTCTGAGCAGAGAAAGTGAACCTCAGCTCCTCTCGCTCATGTCATTCACACATGTTCTCTGCTAGTGTCTCGTGCTGGTGTGACTCTGGTGTGACTCTGGTGTGTCTCTGGTGTGACTGGTGTGACTCTGGTGTGACTCTGGTCTGACTCTGGTGTGACTCTGGACTGACTCTGGTGTGTCTCGTGCTGGTGTGACGCTGGTGTGACTCTGGTGTGTCTCTGGTGTGACTGGTGTGACTCTAGTGTGTCTCTGGTGTGACTCTGGTGTGACTCTGGTGTGACTCTGGTGTGTCTCTGGTGTGTCTCTGGTGTGACTGGTGTGACTCTGGTCTGACTCTGGTGTGACTCTGGACTGACTCTGGTGTGTCTCGTGCTGGTGTGACGCTGGTGTGACTCTGGTGTGACTCTGGTGTGACTCTGGTGTGACACTGGTGTGACTCTGGTGTGACGCTGGTGTGACTCTGGTGTGACTCTGGTCTGACTCTGGTGTGTCTCGTGCTGGTGTGACTCTGGTGTGACGCTGGTGTGTCTCTGGTGTGACTCTGGTGTGACTCTGGTCTGACTCTGGTGTGACTCTGGTCTGACTCTGGTGTGTCTCGTGCTGGTGTGACTCTGGTGTGACTCTGGTGTGTCTCTGGTGTGACTGGTGTGACTCTGGTGTGACTCTGGTCTGACTCTGGTGTGACTCTGGACTGACTCTGGTGTGTCTCGTGCTGGTGTGACGCTGGTGTGACTCTAGTGTGACTCTGGTGTGACGCTGGTGTGACTCTGGTCTGACTCTGGTCTGACTCTGGTGTGTCTCGTGCTGGTGTGACGCTGGTGTGACTCTGGTGTGACGCTGGTGTGACGCTGGTGTGACTCTGGTCTGACTCTGGTCTGACTCTGGTGTGTCTCGTGCTGGTGTGACGCTGGTGTGACTCTGGTGTGACGCTGGTGTGACTCTGGTGTGACTGGTGTGACTCTGGTGTGACTCTGGTCTGACTCTGGTCTGACTCTGGTGTGTCTCGTGCTGGTGTGACTCTGGTCTGACTCTGGTCTGACTCTGGTGTGTCTCGTGCTGGTGTGACGCTGGTGTGACTCTGGTGTGACGCTGGTGTGACTGGTTTGACGCTGGTGTGACTCTGGTCTGACTCTGGTCTGACTCTGGTGTGACGCTGGTGTGACTGGTGTGACTCTGGTGCGTCTCGTGCTGGTGTGACGCTGGTGTGACTCTGGTGTGACTCTGGTGTGACGCTGGTGTGACTCTGGTGTGACTGGTGTGACTCTGGTGTGTCTCGTGCTGGTGTGACTCTGGTGTGACGCTGGTGTGATGCTGGTCTTACTCTGGTGTGACTGGTGTGTCTCTGGTGTGACTCTGGTGTGTCTCTGGTGTGACTCTGGTGTGTCTCTGGTGTGACTCTGGTGTGACTCTGGTGTGACGCTGGTGTGACTGGTGTGACTCTGGTTCTGTCTCTGGTGTGTCTCTGGTGTGATTCTGGTGTGACTCTGGTGTGTCTCTGGTGTGTCTCGTGCTGGTGTGACTGGTGTGTCTCTGGTGTGACTCTGGTGTGACTCTGGTGTGACGCTGGTGTGTCTCTGGTGTGACTCTGGTGTGATGCTGGTGTGAGTCTGGTGTGACTCTGGTTCTGTCTCTGGTGTGTCTCTGATGTGATTCTGGTGTGACTCTGGTGTGTCTGGTGTGTCTCGTGCTGGTGTGACTGGTGTGTCTCTGGTGTGACTCTGGTGTGACTCTGGTGTGTCTCTGGTGTGACTGGTGTGACTCTGGTGTGACGCTGGTGTGTCTCTGGTGTGACTCTGGTGTGACTCTGGTGTGACGCTGGTGTGACTGGTGTGACTCTGGTTCTGTCTCTGGTGTGTCTCTGATGTGATTCTGGTGTGACTCGTGCTGGTGTGACTGGTGTGACTCTGGTGTGTCTCTGGTGTGACTCTGGTGTGTCTCTGGTGTGACTCTGGTGTGACTTGTGCTGGTGTGACTCTGGTGTGACTCTGGTCTGACTCTGGTGTGACTCTGGTGTGTCTCTGGTGTGTCTCTGGTGTGACTCTGGTTTGACTCTGGTCTGACTCTGGTCTGACTCTGGTGTGTCTCTGGTGTGTCTCTGGTGTGACTTTGGTATGACTTTGGTATGACTCTGGTGTGACTGGTGTGACTCTGGTGTGACTCTGGTCTGACTGTGACTGCAGGCTGATCTGGCGGCGACTGTTTCTGAGTTCGAGAGCTATAAGGTGCGAGTCCATAATGTACTGAAGCAGCAGAAGCACAAGAGCTCCGGCCAGAGCGAGGGAGACGCATTCAGACAGGAGAGGTGAGCTTCATGAGTCACTGACTGTGTTCAGTGGTGGGAGTGTGTGTTCTGAGGGTGGTTGTGTTGTGTGTTCAGAGAGCAGATGGAGGCTGGGCTGGAGCAACTGCGCAGACGCTTGCAGGAGACGCAGACCAGCCTTCAGTGCAGCACAGCAGAACTGCAGCAGCTGCAGACAGACCACGACACACTGTTGGAGCGGCACAACAAGATCCTGCAGGAGAGCGTCTGCAAAGAGGCAGAGCTTCGGGAAAGGTGTGTGTGTGTGTGTGTGTGTGTATAACAAAAAAAATAAGAATGGCAATAAGAAAGTACTAGATTTGAGTGCACAAAATAATCATGGAGGATAAGCAATTCTGAATTCTGAATGAGTTTTAAGTTCGACTATAAAATGAGTGAACAAGTGTGCATTACGGATGTTGACTGGGAGAGAGTTCCAGAGGCGAGCAGAAGCCCGGCTGAAGGCCCTTCGGCCCACGGTGGCTAGGCGAGCAAAAAGCGGTATAGAGGAGACCCGTGGGTCGTAGGGCCTTTAACCAGGGTTCTGCTTGCCTCTGGATCTCTCTCCCAGTCAACATCCGTAATTCACACTTGTTTACTCAATTGATGGTCACCAGCTGTGCTTCCACAGAAACCACCACAGAATTCTCGGGCCAGCAGCATGTGTCCAAATTTCACCTTAACCGTTCTATTTCATCAAGAACGATAATAATATAGGGCTTTAAGTGTAAAATACAGAACTTGTCCTTTAAAGAGCATTTAAAGAGACAGACGAACAGTAATGGTGGTGTTTCTCCCTGCATCTCTGAGTCTGTTCTCTGTTCATCACTCTGTCAGGCTGCTGTCGCTGCAGTCGGAGAGCATGTCCCTGCGGTCGGAGCACGGCCAGTGCGCGGCTCAGCTGAGCGCTCAGACGGAGGCTCTGCGCATTAGCTTCCGCGAGCAGACGCGGCTCATACAGGACGAGCACTGCCGCACAGTGGAGACACTACAGCAGCAGGTCAACCGGCTGGAGACTCAGCTCTACTCTCTACAGAGGGAGCCTGTCAGTGCAGGTACACGCACACTCAGCATTTCTCTCTCTCTCTCTCACATACACACACACACTCAGCATCTCTCTCTATATGTCACAAAAACGCACACAGCTCTACCATCTGCAGAGGGAGCCCCTCAGCACCGGTACACACACCTGTTCATCAAGTTCGATGATGATGATGCTTGCTCCAGGGATAGGGTGGGGTTCAGCAACCTTGCTGCTGGTGCCACTTCTCGGGGGCGTCGAGTCCGATCCTTGAGCCACACACTCGACTGCAGATGGAGCAGGGGAAACCAGATACCAGGGGTTACCAGCCGCCCATTAGTGTCTCTTGATTCAAGGATATTAAAGAGCACTGTAGCCAAGACACAGCTGTGCTTCACCCCAACATTTTCCTCCAAAGACTCTGACTGGAGTTCTCCCGTGAGCACTCCTGCTTGCATCCCGTCATACAGCTGCTGTTGGATGCTGAGAAACTTGCATGGTACCCCAATTTTGATTAAAAGTTTTGCTGAGGTCGATGAAGGCAACGTAAAGGTCTTTGTGATTGTTCTCGGCTCTTCTCCTTCAGCTGCCTCAAGACAAAAACCATGTCTGTCATGGGTCTGGTCTTCCGGAAGCCACACTGCATTTCCAGAGGCACAGCTTCCGAGATGTGCTCAACCAATCTATTGAGCATGAACTTGGCCAGGACTTCCCCTGCGATGGAGAGGAGAGATATCCTGTGGCTGTTGCCTCAGACTGCTCTGTCTCCTTTCTGCTTGTAAATGACCACGATGTTAGCATCCTTCCAGTCCTGTGAGAGGGTCCCATGTTTCTAGATGTTTTGGATCAGGAAGTGCAGACGGCACGTGAGGATGTATCCTCCGTGTTTGAAAACCTCTGGAGGGATTCCATCGGGTCCAGCTCTTTTATTGTTCTTCAGCCCTGCGATAGTTTGCCCGAGTTCTGAGTAAAGTGGTGGAGTGTCCAGGTGCTTTGTTGGTGGCAGATCTGGCAGATTATCCAGGATATGTGTGTAAATAGGGTTGGTGTGATCGAAGAGACTCTAAAAATTAGACTCTAAAAATTATGATATTTATCAAGAATCTCGTGTTGGTCCTTGACGAGCGTGGAGCCGTAAGCTGTAAGACTGGGGCAGTCGCCCACTTCCTGGTGCCGTACAATGCTTTTGTGGCATTGTAAAAGCCTTGAGTGTTATTGTAGTCTGCCAGGTTCTTTTGCATCCAACAGGTGTTCTCCATAGTCCGAAGGGCTCGCTGGGTTGCTGTTCTTGCAGCAATGAAGGTGGTTATATGGGTAGGAGAGCTTTGTGGGCTTCATGCTTGGTTTTTAGAAGTGACTGGATCTCAGCTGAGTGACAGTCAAACCAGTCCTGGTGATGTTTCCTTGATTGGCCGAGCACCTCTTCGGCTGCGTTATGAATAGCCTGGCGCAAAGCTGCCCAGTCAGCTGATTCCTCCAGGAACATGTTGAGGTTTTCAACAAGGAGCCGTCGGAGGTTGTCTTTGGTGGTGATGCTGATCAGCGCTGTACAGTTGAGTTTCTTGTTTGGAGCTGTCCTCGGGCCACAGGGTTGAATGATCATGAGTAGTTTGGATCTGACCATGAGGTGGTCAGTCCAGCACTCAACTCTGCACATGACACGGGTGGTGAGGACATGTTGTCTGTCCCTTTGACGGACAATTACATAGTCAAGGAGGTGCCAATGTTTTCAGCGGGGCTGCTGCCAGGTGGTCTTGAGCCTGTTCTTCATCTGGAAGATGGTGTTAGTAATGACCAGCTGGTGCTCTGCACAGAGGGAGAGGAGTCTGAGCTTGTTGTGGTTCATTTTCCCCACACCATGCTGGCCAATGACTTACTCTGTACCAGATGCTCCGTACCCACTCTAGCATTGAAATCTCCCATGAGTATGAGCCCGTCCGTAGCAGGGGTTTTCTGTAGGGTGGCATCAAGAGCTCTGTAGAAATTCTCTTTGAAGTTGTACTCTGCATCAAGAGTTGTCTATCAAGAGCGTATGCACTGATGAAACTGGCGAAGTGTTCCTTTGCCAGGGGAATGTGCCATGTCATCAAATCTTTCATTGATGCAAATAAGGGGTTCTGGAATGCATTGCAGCAGTTTAGACTTCACAGCAAAACCAACTCCGTGGTTACGATGAGTGCCTTCGGGGACGCCCTTCCAGTAAGAAGGGTGCGCATAGGTGAGGCTTAAGGTGAGGGTGTGGGTGAGCAGACCTTTCTCCCACCATCTTCACTCCTGTTAGATGACTACTCCAATGGCATGAGGGAACCCATGACGACCTTCATCTGGCAGGAGGTGCACTATTGGGGTCTTCACTCTTTACCCATACCTGGGACAGTGGTTGACGGGCAGCAGGGCATCTCCATTCACCGATGGGCCTGCATGCCTCGTCTCTGGGGCCCACTGCTGCTCCGAGATCCCGTACAGATTAGCCCGGAACCACAATGGATCAGTTACCATGTGTGCCAGGAGGAGGCGTATTTGAGATCTTGGCGGTAGAGAGGCTATGTACCGGCTGAGGAGACTTACACACTCGGCTTCTCTTTTCGCTCCTGAAAAACAAGGTGCTATCCAGTGGCAGTAGCTGAAAGCAGAGAGGGGCTAGCAGAAGCAGCATGCAGCCTTCAAGCACTACTACTCCAACACTGCTGCACTGACGCATCACACAAACACTCTCAGCGACTCTCTCTCTTCCACACACACACTCAGTGTCTCTCTCTCTCTCAGTGCATCATCCTCAGGGCAGGAAGGCTCAGACGGACCGGAAGCCAGCGGACGCTCCAGCGCTGGACCTGCGGGGCGATCGAGAGGAGGGCGAGGGCATGGAGACCGCAGAGACTGAGTCCCTGTCCTCCACCGTGACCCCGCTGACCTCTCTGGAGCAGCTGCTGACCTCTGACCTCAAACACGGTACACGCTCACCCTGCTCTCACACACAGTGTGCTGGACCTCATCTGAGTGTTCAGCTGGGCTCGTCCAGGTGTAAAATGTTTGTGTGATTATCACAGTATCTGTATGTGTGCAGAGCCTGCTGAATGGCAGATGGAGCCCAGTAAAGAGGAGCTGACGATGAAGCTGAGCAGCGCCGCCCGCAGTGTGGAGCACCTGAACGGCCTTCTGCACGAGACCGAGGCTACCAACGCTGTCCTGACCGAGCAGATCACTGTGAGACACACACACACACACACCTTCTGCACAAGACCCTCTGAGTCTTCTGTTCCGCACGTCTTCTGATGGCATAATAATATATACCCTTCAATTGAGCGCAGACGTTTTAATGTACATTTTTTTTATTTATGCTCATCTTGGTGTTTCCATCCAGCATTTTTTTCATGTGATATTCTAAAGTGTGCATAAGACTCTATGTGTAAGTAAACAGTGGTTGTGTGTGTGTGTGTGTGTGTGTGCAGCTGCTGAAGAGTGAGGTGCGGCGGCTGGAGCGTAATCATGAGCGGGAGAAGTCTGTGGCGAACCTGGAGTACCTGAAGAACGTGCTCCTGCAGTTCCTGTTCCTGCGCTCCGGCAGCGAGAGGCAGGCGCTGCTGCCCGTCATACACACCATGCTGCAGCTGAGCCCGGACGAGAAGAGCAAACTGGCGGCCATCGCTCACGGTCAACACACACACACATACTCCTTCTTTATCAGAGTACAGTCAGCTCTCACATGTCGTGTAACCAATAGAGTCGGACGCAGCCATGATCAGATTCTGACGTCACTGGCGGGGAATGACTTGATTTATTATTCTGTGTGTGTGTGTGTGTGTGTGTGTGTAGGCGAGGAGCAGTCGGCGGTCTCGCAAGGCTCAGGCTGGACGTCGTATCTGCACAGCTGGTCTGGGATCAGATGAGGCTTCACGGACACACACATCAGCTGAAGGACACCCTCGCTGTGTTCATGCCTTATTCTCCACTGCACTGTAACGGGGTTCTGATTTGGGGGATTTCCTGAAGATTATCGGTTGGAAATTGTTGGTCATATTTATCATATTTTAACATAAATGATACATTATCATTTTTTCCTCCAATTGTAAATCTCGTATCTATAAGAGATTGTGAAGTGGTGTGAGGTTCATGTGTAAATCAGTGTCTATCAGAGAATATAGTCCCAGAATTAAACTACTTAATCCAGAGCTGACTCTGTTTATTCTTTAACTTTTCATGGAAACGAGTTTATATGCCTCAATCTTCACACACACAAGAGGACTAATGTGGATCTGTTCCGATCATGAGAAAGGTTCACTTCTGTCCAGCGGTCTGTGGAGTTCACATTTCTGTGGACGTTATATTTGTTTATTACAGGCTAACCCTAACCCTACATTCTGAAACAAAGCATGCAAATGAAGTAGGAACACACCCTACGCCAGCAACTCTAGCTCCGAGAGCCATCCCAGAGCCATTAAAGACAAAGGTGAAAGTCTCCCCTATAGCTAATCCAATCAACCTTACGATTCAACATCTAGGCTGAAAGGAGAGAATCTCAGTGACAGGATAGGCCGGATATAATCACCATCCTAATCTTAAATGCTAAATTCAATGTACAGACCATTTCTCAGTTTATACTATTGTATTGTAATTATACATTTAATAAATTTGTATTCCTTCAAAGCCATTCATCTTATGATGTAACGAGTACATCAGGATTTAAGGGAAGTGTTCCCAGTTCCGGCTGACCTAATCTATGCAGCCTACATTGACTGACATTGAGTTATAGAAGTCTATAATGTATTATTTCAATGCTAGGCCAAAGAGACGTGTCTTTAATCGAGCTTTGAACGGACAGAGTGTGTCTGCTTCCCGGACAATGTTAGGAAGATTGTTCCAGAGTTTTGGTGCTAAATAGGACAAGGATCTCCCGCCTGCAGTCGATTTAGATATTCTAGGTATTATCAACTGGCCACACACACACACCCAGGTTCCTAACCGATGATGAAGACTTAACAGAGCAGCCATCGAGTGTTAGCAGTATTCTGGGTTGTTACGTGTGGAAGTTTTTTGTCCAATAATTACAATCTCTGTTTTTTTTCAGAATTTAGTAGTAGGAATTTACTAATCATCCATTTTTTTATATCAGCAATGGATTCTGTTAATTTTGTGAGTTGGTAAGTTTCGTTAGATTTTGAAGAAATATACAGCTGGGTATCATCAGCATAACAGTGAAAGCTAATGTCATGTTTCCTAATGATCTCCTAATGTTAGCATGTACAGAGTGAACAGCAGCGGTCCTCATACTGAGCCTTGTGGGACACCATAATGAACTTGTGATCGATAAGACATCTCTTCATTTACTGCTACAAACTGATAATGGTCAGATAAGTGTGATTTACACCATGCTAATACAATTCCACTAATGCCAACATAGTTTTCTAGTCTATTTAGAAGAATATTGTAGTTAATTGTGTCAAATGCAGCACTAAGATCGAGTAACACTGATAGAGAGATACAACCACGGTCGGATGATAAGAGCAGATCATGTGTGACTCTAATGAGAGCTGTCTCAGTACTATGGTACGGTCAAAATCCGGACTGAAAACTACTGATGAAAACCGAAACGACCAAAAGAGCTGTATTATGCATGCCAAGACCATGCTCATGCACACATACACATTCAAACACGCATGCCTATACTAAACGCATAATACGCATGTGCATTCGTCACCATTTTCGCAGATTCACGTTTTTGTAGATTACACAAACTTTGAAAACAATACCGTTATCATCTCTGTACATTATAACTTATAGAAACAAAGATGCTGCTGCTATTTCACAAACATTCATAAACATAGACTGACTTGAACGTTTTTCATTTTCACCTTTTCTAACTGAACTTCACATGATCTACATTTATCCATTTAACAGACTCAGTGTCACTGCAAACTAACTATATATACGTCCACATGTTTCAGTTAAACTATTCAGCCAGAATATGAGTGATGTTGATTTAACTATTAATATGATTCATAGATCAAACGTACTTTTCAAACATCCATTGGAAAACATGTACTGTATATATTTACATTTGAATGGTTATAAAGGAAAAAGAATGATCTGAAAGCTGTTTTTCTTTAAATTAAATAGCATCACTTCATTCCTAATGGAATTATTTTGTGTTCCCCAAAACAAGGGTCGTGTTTGACTTTCGGAGCTGTCTGAAGTTTAGCGCAGGTTTTGTCTGTGATTCTCTGAGGCGGATCTGAAGCCGTTCAGGAGCCTCCAGTGCTTCCATGACACACATTCCCAACTTAGCTGTGTGTTCATCAGCTGCCGCGTTTGGAGATGAGCCGAGGGTATTTATAGACACACGGAGAGCACAGGAGGAATGTGTTGCTGCCATTAACTCTCCTGGTGTTAGGATTAAAGTTTATTGTTCACTGTTTGAATCAACTACTTCTATAGAGCATAAAGCAATCTTTAAATGTAAATCTCTCTTTGTCTGATGGATAGAGTGGTATGATGAACCCAAGCATGTAATCTGAGAAACTAGATCTAAATAGATGAACATACATTATTACAAGTAGTTTTTGCTCTACTGGTTCTTGATGTTATTGTGAGAGTCTGAAGTTTCCAACACAGGGTTATCTCAACCAACATATCTAAGATTATTAGGGATAGGCATTTTTGTACAGTTAGTAAAATATGACCAAATGCAAACAAACTGAGCACTTGTAGGCAGTTGAAGTGTTTCAGGCATGAGGTCAGAAGCAGCGGGACAGACTCTCAGTCTATTATTGACTCAGTCTCTCACACGAGCTTCACCAGTCCTGTGCTCTCAGACAGTGGTCTCAGTGGTCTCAGACGGTTGGTCTCTCAGTGGTTTCTCAGTGGTCTCCCAGGGCTCTCAGTGGTCTCCCAGTGGTCTCAGTGGTCTCTCAGTGCTCTCAGACAGTGGTCTCAGTGGTCTCCCAGTGGTCTCAGTGGTCTCAGACGGTTGGTCTCTCAGTGATGGAGGACTCCTATCCCGCGACGAGCATCGACGGCCTGCAGCCGCACACCGAGATCTCTGCTGAATCTGAGCTTCCCCGCCGCAGCGATGTCAAAGTCTACAAGGAGTTCTGCGACTTCTACGTGCGATCGTGAGTCTGCCGCTTCGACTGCTTCATATTCTCTAAAATATACTCATACTCAACTATACACTACTCAATTGTGGTTGACTCGTGTATGGTGAATAGAAAGAAGCGACTACTAAGTGTAAATGTAAATATAGTGTCTTGAAAGCAGATTATTAGAACATTTTGTTTCCATGTTTGATGTTTCCATGGCTGGCTTTTACATGAATCTTCAGCAGTAATCTGTAAACTCTGAGCTGATGATATTCGTCATGTTCTTGAGCTCAGAAAGAGTGAGATACAGTGACTGATCGATAGCCAAACTCATCCCCTTTACTATTTTACTGTTGTCTGCCTCGGGAATTGTTTTGTTTCAGTTGTTTTACAGTTTAATTACGGTTTGTTAAAAGCTCAAATCTAATATGCTGAGAGTGTGTCCTGCTGTCAGTCAACATGTACACTTTTCTCTGGGTAATAACATGGTAAAAGGCCGTTAGCCTGAAACCGGTCGCTCACAGATGAGATATTAACCTTTCTTCTACAATAATTCCCTTAATTGTGTCGAGGCTTCTGCTCTCATCCGCTTCAAGTTATCTCACTTTGTTATTCTTCTGGTTATTTCCCTGTACCGACTGATCAGAAGTCTCAGATTCGCGTTCTCAAATTCAAGTACAAAACTGGAAATCTGATCACTATAGTCTACATGCAAAAACCTTTTCAGACATTAAGAGGCATCAGTCAGTCTGAAGTTTTAAATGTAAAGAGAAAGTGTGATCTGATCTGCTTTATTTCTCTATGAAACATAGACTTTATTCAGGCCTTTTTACTGAAAAAGGCACAATATGTAATCTTTCAGCTGAGGACTCGAGATCCAGACGGACTGAGAAACATCAGATCAGGACAGCGTTTTCCCTGTGGTGTGTGTGCAGTGTGTATGAGACGCTGAGACAGGCATATATGCAGATCCACATACCAGAGATGTTTCTGCATATCTGAGCTTCACACAGAGCCACATATAGACAAACAGCTGTAATATTCTTCATACTCTCGGCCAAGTGTGTGGTGCTTTAGTGGATGCTTTCACCCAGTGACTCTTTAAAGGGAGTCCACGGTATTTGTGGTTTAATCTCACTCACTATAGAACACAATAACGGCTCTAATGATCTGACCGCACAGGATTGTGGGATATCATTATCAGATGACGTATGTCAGTAGACAGCATGAGACTCGATCACTGGATCCAGACCGCTTCCCTTCTCAGTGTGAATACAGAATTCATTCCAGTCATGGTCACTCCTTTAGATCCACTTATTCATTCATATAAGCTCTTACTGATGTTTCTTTAAGAGGATCAAGGGGGAAATGCGAGAGATCCTGTTGTCATTTGTGGGGAAATGTGAAGCAGAACTGAAGCATCCTCTAATTTGTCACGTTACCTTTATTAACATTCACCTAAAGGATTATCAGGAGAAACACCACACTAATACTGTGTTTGACCCCCTTTGGCCTTCAGAACTGCCTTAATTCTACGTGGCATTGATTCAACAAGGTGCTAAAGGCATTCTTTAGAAATGTTGGCCCATATTGATAGGATCGCATCTTGCAGTTGATGGAGATTTGTGGGATGAAGCTCCCGTTCCACCACATCCCAAAGATGCTCTATTGGGTTGAGATCTGGTGACTGTGGCGGCCATATTGGTACAGTCAACTCATTGACATGTTCAAGAAACCAATTTGAAATGATTCCAGCTTTATGACTTTGATCGTCTTGACCAGGACCACACCCCTAAATGCACTGAAGCAACTGCCATGTGATTGGTTGATTAGATAACTGCATTAATGAGAAATTGAACAGGTGTTCCTAATAATCCTTTAGGTGAGTGTATATACGACACTGACTGTGCCTGTCCTTCACTGACAGTGTTCAAAAGAACCGAGCTAGAAATGGACATAGGAAAACAGACATTGGCACACAACCATTGAGATATAAAAACTAATTCTGGTGAACCAAAAGCCAGAGAAAATATAAAAAACACTCAACCTGTCATATCGACTAGTATTTTTGTAATCATAAGATGAACCTCTGT